AATGTTAATTGGAGCCTATAAAATACTTGAGGAAGGCATTGGAATGATTTGAACCTAAAACTTAACAAGATTCAGTAAAATCCAGTATAACCGAGATCCCCAGCCTAGATCCACATCTCCAAGGAAGTTGTGATGACGTGATTAATGTGTTTTCCAAAATTCTGCAAAAACCAGACAGAATTTACTAAAATATCTGGTCTTGAGTACTTTAGAAGGAGTCACATGTAATGCTAATAGGAATTTCTTTGTTTAACAAAGAGGGGTTTTGTATGGGTGCCTAATTAATCAAAGTTCCCATCCAGATAGTTATCCTTATAAGCATGTACACACACTATTTAACACAGTTCATGATTGGCAATAATGACAACACTGCTGTCTGTTTTTGTCAAAATTCTAGCAACAGCAACAAAGTTGACAACACACCCACATTTCATCCATAGATATCTCTCAATGTTGCAAGAATTTACTGAAGTCAAACCACATGAGTGGTATGGTTGCAACTTTTATATATTCTCATCAATAAATTGTTGATGATGGCTTTATCAACAGATTTTGTTCTTTCTGCTAGAATTTCCCACTTTTCAGGAAGGTTGCTCAAATTAAGTCACTAGGATTGAAACATAGCCCAAACCACAAACCCAAATTTATGGCCTGTTGGAGTGAAAATTACATAGTTTATCCCAACAAGTACATAACATAAAGAAAGATTAAGATGACACAGGTCCAGTGAAGGAGATGAACAACAGAAATAGCCATATCCAATTCACACATCCTTCATCAAACTAATATTGAGTATCATGATTTCCAACTAAAATTTATTTTAAATAGATGATGTGACCACTCGACACATTATATTTAGGTACTGCTCCAGTATTAAATTTGGTGCTGTGAAGGGACATGATAACCCCATGTTATACGTTATACATCAAATTTAACAATGTATTTAACAACTCTTTATATAAAAAGAATCCACTAACCAAAACTTCTACCTTATCAACTGTAAAAGAGAATGTCCACAGCGATATAAAATAACAGTTATAAAACTTTCTTACAAGCACATTTAATTTCCTCTTCGTGAAAAATATTTTTCAGTTAAATGAATAAAACAAACATTAATTAATAATTTCCTCAAGTACATTACTGGTAAACAAATAAAATTGTTCCTGCAAAAATTAAATACCTTAATTTAAAAAAGAAAAACCTATCAATATTTTTAGTGCACCAAATGCATAAAATTTACAAAGATGAATTTGTTATTCAACATAAAACTATGCATATCACTTGTAGACCCAATTAAACATGTAAAACTCACTATATACTACAGAAAATTAAAAACTTCCAATGTGATGATTACCAATAACATCAAACCTATGAAATCTAAACTGTAGACCACCAATGTCATTTATAATTACCCTTTGCAGAGTTGCATCCATAAAAATAATGATAAAACTAAAAACAAATATATTGGTCACATGACAAGCTCTTTATGCAGGTGTCACTTGAGCAATCTTAATTGGATAAGAAAACACAACCAACTTATTGTACCCATAAGAAAAATCCATGTAGATAACACTTATATATTAAGAAGATCTGGTTGTAAAAACAATTGAAGAAAATTGAAGCACTCCTAATAAAAACCACCAGACATATACTTAACATTACTGGCTTCAAAATCAATCAGGGCATCCTGGCTGTGTTTTGATGACTAAAACAAACCTCCAATATAAACAAAATTATCACCACGCAACACAGTATAGAAAACAAAATATACTAATAACAAAAATTAATTTTTTGTTTGGAGTACTGTGAAATGCCAAATTCTTATATCATTATTTTCTCTTCAAATTACAAGTACTATGAATTTTAGTTGCTGCTGTTGTTTGGCACAGTTCTTCTTTGTGATTTCTTTGCAGAGCCAGCACACAAGGTTTGAAGAAAGGTCTTTGCCAAGATTCATAAGTTTCACTCACTCAATGCCATTTTTAACCATTGATCTGAGAAAGCAGTTGTATACGGCTGAGAGTTAAGATATTTCTGAATGGGTTTGGTGCTATGCATGACATCCATATGAAAATCTCGATCTAACAAGGCTATTTAAGGACATGACTCAAGTTTTCAAGTTAATGTTTTGGCTTTATAAAAATTGGCCCTGGCATCTCGTATACAGTCGCTCTCTCACAGACGCGCCGTCACCTCTCTCTGTCTTTTTTACAAATACTTTCATGGTAATTGCTCCGAGGAGCTGCATTCGCTGGTTCCCAGACTTCATGAATTCAAGCGCCCTACGAGGCTGGCATCCCGCTCTCACCCTTTCACTGTCAAAACTATTAAATATAGCCATCTCTTTTACTCCAATAGCTTTATATCTCGCACCTCTCGCCTGTGGAACTCCCTTCCCTATTTCAGTTTCCCTGAGAGCTATAATCTCCAACTATTCAAATGTAATGTCAATTGACATCTCCAGTTGCCTTGATCTATCCACTATCCTTCTCCTCATCCTTTCCTCTATCACTCCTATTTGATCTTGCTCCAAATCTCCTGTAACCCCTTGCGTCCTAGTGGCTTCCCGCCTTGCTTGGGGTGAATCGCTTTAAAAAAAAAAAAAAAATTTAGTGGTGTTAGGCAAGACTACCTCCAGTACAGCCTACTCTATGTTTATCTCCTATAGAAAATTTGTTATAATTGAGCCATGCACTGAGATAGTTTGGTGTTTAGTATTTACTAATTCCACATCCTGAATTTTCATGAAAGATTCAAGCTAGGAGATATTACTGCTTTCATTCCAATTCCAGATCATAGTTTCTGTCTAGGAAAGGTTTATGTTGAGTCCTATTTCTTGGAACACTTCCTAGAGAATGTTGATTTTCTGTTTGAGATCATTCTTATCCCAACTATAAATATCTATGTCATCAGCATAACTCCTCTCATCATCAGTACATTGGCCTCAGGAGTATAAGCAGGATTGCTGTTTTCTATTGGTAGATTCATTTGGGATGTGGTATGAAATGCTGAAATGATCAGTGCCCATCTACTGACATGTTTGTAAATGTGCAGGGCATAGTTTAGGAAAAAATTAAATAAACCGGGGCTCTTATTTCCTCCTTGTCATATTAGTAGTAAGATTTGAAATGTTCCCATATTGGGTTCCCCTCCAGACATGCAAGATTTTGTGGACCAATAAAATTCCTCTATTAATAAGATGCATTCACAATATTCAGAACTTGGAAGGTGGTTTTGAATGGATGAAAAGATGAAGTATCTACTGATGTGGTCATATGCTGCTGTGAGGTCAACATAGCAAGTATACAGTTTCCTATTGGAGAAGTATACAATTTCCTGGGGTCTTTTTGACAATATATATGCCATCATTACATCCCTTAGCAGAATGAAAGCCAAAGTAGGTTGTCAGGAGTTGACTTTCATAAAACAATGAGAGCCTACTTAATACAATGTTTATTAATACTTTCACCATAATGGATCCAATAGCGATACCTTTGTATGTATGTGTGAGGGTCTTGAGAGCTACCATTTTTATCCATAGTGCATTAATGTATGATAAACCTCACTTCTGGGGGATGCATTTCTAATTCCAGACTTCTTCCATAAAATTGAGAAACTTCTTGTTGAATTTGGGGAGAAATTAAGCTATTTCTAAAAGTTCAACCTGAATGTCAAGTGATGCTTAGTTTTTTTAATAGTTTTCTTAATTTCCTCATCAATAGGTTCATTATTGTTTATGTTTGGAGACAGACTTTGTAATGATTGGATGAATATTGGTATATGTTTTATTTCTGAAAGCATCTTTAGTGTGGTCAGGATTAAAATATGATTCAAGATGCTTTTTTGAGTCCAGGACATTTTTGTTAATTTTCATTGCATGATGTAATTGTGATTTTTCACTTTTCTCCACATTGTCTATGATACTTGGTTTCATTAATTTCATTTCCAATTTTCTCAAAGAAGTAACTATTTTTGTTTCCTTTGTTAATTATTTCATATTTTCCTTTCCATTTTTCTTTCTCTTCTGTTTGTGTCTTTTACCAATTTTTTTCAATTCAGGATTGTTGCCCCTTGGGTGTGTCATATTCTGTCTAGATATTCTTGGAATGTTCTCATGTACTTCAGGTAATAAAAAAATGATAGCATTATTTGATTCTTCGATGATGTTTTGATCAAGATTTATTGACATCAATTTGGACTAATCTATTAGAGAATTCTAAACTTAACCATTCATTTTTGGGGTTTGGATGTTCAAGAATTAGTGTAAATGGTCATGAAGTAGTTCAATGTAGCAGTAATTGGTCAATACTCGATAGAAGAATCAGTCCTGGTATCTTGGTTTCAGTTACTTTCCCACCACCTTAATATAGCTTACCTGTGCCTTTTCTATAAATACTTTCACTGTCATTGTTCTGATGAGCTTTTTCTTTTTAATAACTCAACCTCAAATTTAAGATTGGTAGCTAGGTCTCCTCAGTGCTGAAATTGTTAAATTTAAATTCTATGGTAAATGTTCCTTCTCTTGACCTTCTCACTTGTGAAACTGTTCCATCTTTTTGCTCCCTTGTCAACTACAATCTTCAAAAATTTAAATAAAAAAACCCACCAGCCATCATGGTGCCTAGGTGACAATTAGAGCCCAAAGTTTCCAGACACACACTGCATCCCAGCATAAAAATTCAAATTCATTGGACCATGCCACACATTGCCAGTTTTCTAGGCTCCAACTAGCAATGTCATGAGGCCAGGTGAAGTAGTGTATGTGGTGTCATGGTGTTAAGAGTCTTACTAAGTATGTAAAGAATGCCTCCCAAAATACACTGGCAAAACATCCTAAAATTTAAAGAATTTAAATTAAAATACATACAACTGTAAAATGAAATGAGTAAAATGTGGCAATAAAAATAATATATTGTTCCTGATAGTTTCAAACATTCAAATTAAATTAGCAGTTTTATAATTTGTTGATGATGTTCAGTCAAACAGCAAAGAAAACATACTTGAGATGTGCAGCTACCAATTCATCAAATGGTGGGTCAAAAAAATTCTGACAATCGGCTTCTGGTTTTTCCAGTTGGAGACGTCGGTTTGCGACATGTGGATGTTTAAAAGAAAACAATGTCTACAAAATATAAACGAGGCTTATCAATAATTGTCTGAGATTAAAGTCAGTGAAAATTATATCTCATGCAATTAGGATTCTTACAGATGATATAAATTCTTAGCATCAATTTGACAGTTTTCAAATTGTTGAAAATGAATCAGAGTTTTGGAAAAACTTATGCTGTGATTTTCTTACAGGTTTTAATTGATGATGGGTGGTTTATTAGTATGAATTTTATCAATTTAAAATTTCATATTACACAATTATTTAAGATTTACATAATTATGTCTAAATATTAAATAATGATAGCATGTAGAAGCACTTTCTTTCAGGAAAAACAAAAAATATATGGTTCATATTTAAGTTTTTATTATCCATGACAATCAGTACTTTTTGAATATTTCCTGCTTAAATGAAGAGTGATCGTTTTGTTTCTTTTTTCTATATAATATCAAATATTTTTTAATCCTTCTTCAATTGCATACTTACAGCTGCAGTTAAACCATCATCTTTCCTAAAGGCATGTTCTACCTGAAATAAATAAATACATTTTAAACGTTTATATACGGCAAAAGAAAAATTTTAGAAATTATTATTTGATTTGTGACACTGTGTAAACTGCTCTTATTTGGATATTTTAAAATGATTTTCTATCATTTAAAATTGTATATTGTATTGTGGAAAATGTTTGGCCTTCCACGAAAAAATAGGAAAGAAAAAGAAGAAAGCATAAAATGTTACTATGACTGTCGACTCATATACAGACTGCTGACTTTATGTTTTCCTTTATTTATTCCTGGCACACAAACAATTTTTGTTCTAATCAATTCACCCCAGGCAAGGTGATAATGTCACTAAGACGCAAAGGACTACTACTGGAAGGGAAAGAGAATAAAAAGATTTTTTTAGAGGGAACCGGAAATCCAATGATGAACAGGAAATAAGGGATAAATTTCTACACCAGACCAGGGTGGAAGGAATGTAAACCGGGCGATAAGTGGGCCTAAATCCTATCGAGAAAAAATAAAATAAATAGCAAATAAAATGAACTGAAAGTTCAGGCAGAGACGTTAGTAGTAGAATGACTAATTTAATTCATTCATTCATAATTTGAGTTCTGTGTACTGTAATTTTTATTTTTCTCCGTAAAAGTTGCTATCCAATCAGTAGCTCTTAATAATTTTCAATAAAAAGTTGTTTTTTCTACATTGTTTCAAACCGAATGTGTCCGCTTTAATTTGAATCTGTAATTTTTTTTTTTTTTTGCCAAAACTTAATTATACACATTTTTTTTAGTTTTTTCTTCATAAACACTACAAATGAATAATTTGTCTTTCAACATTTTCAGCTTCCCTTTTTTAATGCTTGTTGAAATTGTAATTATTCTGATTTATTTACTCAAACAAAATTATTGACTGAATTTCATTAATGAAAACAAGTAGTAGTGGTTTTGAAAATCGTAACTAGTTTCATTGAAAGATGACATATATGTAGAACGTTTTTTTTTGGGGGGGGGATCATTTGGTCAGACTTTTTTTGCCGAATTATAAATAATAACAAAAATAAATAAATTATAAAAAACATGAAGGCTACATTTATTTAACGGAATGTTCATGCCTCTCAATTTCCGTTTCACAAAAAAATAAAAATATAGGACAAAAAAGTCGTACTGTGAAATTGAATGTAGATCGGTTAAATAAATAAATAACTAAGACATCTTGAGAGACCTGACGAAATTTGAAAAGGTTGGCGGCAAAAAAATTAGTTATTGGCGTAACATTTTTATATGCATAATTTTACTCATATAAACTTCTTATATTCTTTCATTCTTTAAATACATTTTTTCAATACTATTAAAAAGAAATAATAATCAGAATTAAGACTTGAATTAAAATTTATCGCAAGTTTCCACTGAGTTAAGGGTTGCTAGTTACACTAACTTTTTTAGGTAACGTGTAGTTCTGACCACCAACAATTGGACAGAAACCCTAAAGTAAATAACATTAATTCTGAGATTAATTATCGATTCAAAGTTTTGTTTACAATCAAATTGAATGAAGTCTTTTTCTCTGTAATTCATTCAAAATACTAGTGAAGAAACGTGTATTTACTTAACTGATGACAAAACATTTTCCTACAAAGACAAAATATCACTGAGAGGTTAATGAAGTAAGAAAATAAGTTTTATACTTTAAGGTTTAATGCTTTGTCAAATAAATAAGTATAAAACTGAAATTACATACTTTAGTGAGGTACTGATTGAGCGAATGATGCGCCATTTTTATGCTGATTATATTCAACAGCAGCGGTGTTCAAAGGCTTCAAGCGAACATAGAAACGACCAGTAAGAGATAAGACCTCTAATGAATCATTTATTTTAAAGTTTCCAATCCGCAACTACAATGTAATTAAAATTCAAATTTATGATTACATGTTTAATTTTTATTGAATATCATTTTATCTTTCTAAAATTTTTCATAATCATATCATATTTATTATTATTATTAAGAAAATGTACACAATCAAAATTCAAAAATAACCATAACTGTGAAAACGCAATAAAACAACAAAGACAGCTTAACAGCAAAAATTATGGTCTATGAGATTTTGTCGCTGTTGTCATTTCAACTTTGTTGTCTGGTTGTGAAACCTGGGCTTAGGATATAAACTTTAATATTTTACAGCCAAAAAGTGAAGCACAAACAAGTAATAGACGCCTTCAAATAAATCTCACTAAATTCAATTTTTTACAATTCTGTACAAACACGGATACAAAATTAAATAAGTGGTTTCTGGAACCTGATTGGATATGATGAGTCACATGATGTGCTCTCTACAACGTCTGAGCAGTTAAACTCCAAACGACTTGGAAATAGGTTAGGGCAAAGTTACTAAGTACATTCCTGCGCAAAACTCAGATAACAATTCAGTCAAACCCAAAATGATAAAAACGGCTTGTTAGCAACAGTCAGGTCAAAACTTGAAATGGAATTAGTCAGTGGACAGATCTGCGAAAAGTCAGTGAACCAGTCTAACCTTGACACATGTTACCATGACAATGCATCAGTCAGAGATGATTTTCCTCCATACAAAATTGTAGCAAAGTAAGTCTTCTCTCAACTCTCCTTGTTCACTGTGTTTTAAAATTACTGCTATCATACAAAATCAGTCAGCAGTTGTAATAATAATAGCCCCTTAAGAGTTATTGCCCTAGGGCACTCACTGAGACCCAGAAGAATAAAACATGACGTTCTACATTTAAAACCTATACAAGTGTTTCCTGTCTTCTTTAAATATTACAACATGGTGGTAGCAGTAAACTGAAAATAGAAAATATTCACAGCAAAAAAGAAATATGCTACCTAACAATAATAATAATAAAAAGGTTATGTCAAGTCAAATGGACTTAAGACCTCTTTTTGGAAGAAAGAAAGTAAAACTTTTAGCGATGAACTCAGCTCCTGTCATTTGCAATTTTTTTTTAAAAAATAGAGAACAAAAAAAAAAGAGAAAAGTTTGATTTTCTTTTTTTCTGTAAAGATCATTTTATTGTGATGTTTATAATTTTGTATTGTAATTTGTGGACATGACACTCAGATTTTATTTTTCAACCTAAAATTCAGGTAAACTGCTCCCACTGACTCTATATTGTCACAATATCCAAAAATTAGAACATTTCCACCAACAAAATTTTAAATTATTTGAAACACATTCACAAGACCATAGCAACTGATGATGATCACCATTGAAACCAAAAACTTCAAAGCCAACAGAAAAGAAAGAAGTCAAACAACAAGAGAGAAAGGCTCAACAAAATTGACCTTGTTCTCTGTCAACATTATTATGCAGTCAATGCCATCAGCTATTCCATGCAAGAATTGGTTGATGATTAAATTGATGAAATTAAATTGTAGGATACACGGTAAAGCCACTGGCATTGACAAACAAAATATCTATAGAATAGATGGAATAACACTTAGCATTAAAAAATTTATACATCTTTTTAAAAATATGATATTTTGTTGTATAGTTGAATTGAATGTTAATATAAAAATTTGCTTGTTTCCTTAGCTGTATTATTTATTTATTTTTTACTGATTGGCATTGTATTTATAAATATTTTCACAGTTGCCTTCCTTGTTTTATTCTGACTAAATGTTAAATAAATTTTGCATTATAATTTTCATTATTTAATTATCTGTGTGAAACTGATCCAAGTAATTGCTTTCTGTCAAAGTCTCTCACTACTGAAAAAAAAAGCACAGTCATTCTCTTCTACACTCCTCTCTGACCTCCTGATCACATAAATGACATGGAGATGATGGTTGTCTTCATCAAGTATTTCTATGTAAAGTTAGAGAGGCTCCGCCTGTCTCTTCTGCATTTGCGCCCACTTGGTCTCTTTTATTATTTGATATCATCATCGTTGTCTCCAGCATCTGTTTCCACTGGTTCCATACGTAAATAATCTGGCCTTGTGTTGAAAAACAGTGACAAATCTAAGTCAATTTCAGATGACTTATCACTGCGGTCATCTTCCGATGAAACAGTTCTCTGGCACGAGTAGAGGTCTCTGATATGGTGTGGCGTTCCATTGATGAGAACTGAATGTGGGCCATAGACCCATGTTACTGTTCCTTTTTTGAATTGCGTCGAACATCGACCATGTGAGGTCTTTACCCAAACCACACCTCCTGCTCTGTAGACTCTAGAATCTATGTGTTCAATTGGTGGTGTGACATCAACACTTTTTATGCAGGCTTTATAGTTGTATTTCGTATTGGCTGGTGCCAATGAAGCTGTTGTGTCATCTTTTGGCATCACATCATGCCAATATAATGCCTTCATAATGGAACATCCCGATGAAGCAGTGATACACTTTTTTTTTTTTTTTTTTTTTTTTTAAGCGTTTCACCCCAAGCAAGGCGGGAAGCCACTAGGACGCAAGGGGTTACAGAAAATTTGGAGCAAGATCAGATAGGAGTGATGGAAGAAAGGATGAGGAGAAGGGTAGTGGATAGATCAAGGCAACTGGAGATGTCAATTGATATTACATTTGAATAGTTGGAGATTATAGCTCTCAGGGAAACTGGAATAGGGAAGGGAGTTCCACAGGTGAGAGGTGCAAGACATGAAGCTATTGGAGTAGAAGAGATGGGTACATTTAGGAGTTTCGACAGTGAAAGGGTGAGAGTGGTGTGCCAGCCTCGTAGGGTGCTTGAATTCATGAAGTCTGGAAACCAGCGAATGCAGCTCCTTGGAGAAATTGCCATGAAAGTATTTGTAAAACAGACAGAGAGAGGTGACAACGCGTCTGTGAGAAAGTGACTGTAGACGAGATGCCAGATCAGGGCCAATTATATTGCATATCTGCCTCTGGAGCCTATCAAGAACCCCGAGGCAAACAGAAGGGGCTCCAGACCATATATGGCAGCAATACTCCATGCAAGGGCGAGTTGTTGATTTGTAGATCTGGAGGATCGATTCCAGGGAGAAAAATTTCCTGGCACGGCACAGGGAGCCAACTTTCCTTGCGGTGGATGAAGCAATTGACTCAATGTATTTGTTCCATCTCAGGTTAGCCGTCAATGTGAGACTGAGCAGCCACAGAGAGTTGCTCTTGAGAAGTTGAGCGTCAGACATTCTAATGGAGGGCAGGGAAGGATCTCTGTAGTGATTAATAGAGAGCAGTTTTTTTTTGAAGCATTAAAGTTGACCAGCCAATTCCTGCCCCAGTTCACAACCGATTGGAGGTCCTTTTCGAGACGCATGGCTAGGTTAGTTTTGTCAGTGACACTAGATTTGTTTTTGAGGCAGGAATAAATTGTGGTGTCATCCGCGTAGATGCCAACTTGGAAATTTATGGCATCAGGAAGGTCATTTATGTAGATAAGGAATAGAGTAGAGCCTAGGATGGAGCCTTGAGGAACACCTGCGTTCATGGGATAGGAAATGGAGGAGAATCCGTTGAGAACGACATTCAGTTCACGGTTTGACAGGAATGATTGTATTAGGTCAAACAATCAACCCGTTATGCCATAACCCTGGAGCTTGCGAAGAAGGCCAGCATGCCAAACCCTATCAAACTCTTTGGAGATGTCTAGGGCCATGGCACGAGCTTCCCCGTTATTTTGAAGAGCTCGGTAGACAGTTTCAGTGATGGCCATAAGCACATCAGCTGTAGATCGGGCAAAGCGGAAGCCATATTGCTTGTCTGAGAGCAGATCATGGGATGTGAGGTGGTTAACCACCTCGGTATTGATTAGGGCTTCAAAGACTTTGCCGAAGAGAGGTAGGAGACTGAGAGGGTGGTAGTTTAAAGGGTCAGAGGGGTTGCCAGAGTTCTTGAAGACAGGAACAATCGAAGAGGACTTCCAGCAGTCAGGAAAACAAGATTCCTTGAGGCAGTAGTTGTATAGTTTAGAAAGGGCGGGCGCCAGTTCAGGCGCGCATTTCTTCAAGGCAATGGCTGGTATCCCATTTCCACCACTAGCCTTGTTGGGGTCTAAATTGGAGGTAACGCCCAATACCAAAGACAGGCCTCAGTTCTAAGAGGGAAGTTGGGTATGGGCACACCGGAAGAGTCGAGCGTCGAGTTGAATGAAAATTTCCGAGCAAAGCATTCAGCCTTGTCGGCAAAGGAGGTCAGGACTTCGAACTGGTTGAACAATGGAGGTATAGAGGGTTTGCAATTGTTCAATACACTCTTGCAGAGACGCCAATAATCTTTGGAGCCAAATTTGCGAGATGCAATACGCTCCTTCATCCGAGCAGCAAATAGTGACTTAGCATCATTGAGGACACACTTACACTTGTTACGGGCAGAGGCAAAGAGACGTCTATTGCAGTCAGACAGGTCGCTACGGAATAGGTGAAAGAAGTGGTTCCTATGGGTGATGGCTGCTGAGCAAGCAGCGGAGAACCAGGAGGAGGAGTGCTACTTGACCCTATATTTCCTTGAGGGGATGAAAGCATCAATTCCAGCTTTAACCCAGGATGAAACCTCAGAAGCACATTCTTGGATGGGAAGTGTAAAGACATGATCCCAGGGGACATCGCGGAGGAAATCACGGAACGCGTCCCAGTCAGCTCGTTGATAGTAGAACGAAATTCTAGTGGTAGGAGGTTCTTTGCAGGGGGTGGAGTTGAAGGAGATGTTAACAGATACTACTGCATGATCAGAGTTACCAAGAGGGCAGAGTTGCGTGGCGCTACAGGACTCGGGGATGGCGGTAAAACACAGATCGAGAAGAGAGGCTTTACCTTCCCAGTTGAAGGC